CTTCATCATCCTGTCGCTTGCCTTCAAGCCATCTGGAAAGAACGTGAGAGGGGTTTATTTCAAATATTTAGAAATTCAATTTAAAATCCACACTACCTTGGTATGGTTGAGAAAATCCACTGACGATATGTTGGACTTTTGCGAGCTATTGCGGATTTTTGCATTCTTGATTTCATTTGTTGGTGGCTACGTTGTTATTTACACTTTGCAAGCTCTCATAGTAATGTCTGCTCGATGAAATATCCATAGCTGAACTCAAAATAATGTTTATGTAAATTATATGAATGTAATAATGACCTGGGTATGAGGGCACATGGTCGCATATTAACAGCAAACAGTAAAAACTTGCAAAAAGCACCGATTTATGGAGGGGTGGATTTTTATTTTCCAAGGATTTTTAAAAGAATTTTCTTAGAGCCTACTTTGAGGCGTGGATTTTTAAAAGAATTTTCTTAGAGCCTACTTTGAGGCGTGGATTTTTAAAAGGATTTTCTTAGGGCCTACTTTGAGCCGTGGATTTTTAAAAGAATTTTCTTAGGGCGTGGATTTGTAACCACTTTGAGGCGTGGATTTTTAAAAGAATTTTCTTAGGGCCTACTTTGAGGCGTGGATTTTTAAAAGGATTTTCTTAGGGCCTACTTTGAGGAGTGGATTTAAAAAAAAAAAAATTCTTAGGGCCTACTTTGAGGCGTGGATTTTTAAAAAAAAATTTCTTAGGGCCTACTTTGAGGCGTGGATTTTTAAAATAATTTTCTTAGGGCCTACTTTGAGGCATGGATTTTAAAAAGGATTTTCTAAGGGCCTACTTTGAGGCATGGATTTTTAAAATAATTTTCTTGGGGTCTACTTTGAGGCGTGGATTTTTAAAAGAATTTTCTTAAGGCCTACTTTGAGGCGTGGATTTTTAAAAGAATTTTGTTAAGGCCTACTTTCAGGCGTGGATTTTTAAAAAAAATTTGTTAAGGCCTACTTTCAGGCGTGGATTTTTAAAAGAATTTTCTTAGGGCCTACTTTGAGGCGTGGATTTTTAAAAGAATTTTCTTAGGGCCTACTTTGAGGCGTGGATTTTTAAAAGAATTTTCTTAGGGCCTACTTTGAGGCGTGGATTTTTAAAAGAATTTTCTTAGGGACTACTTTGAGGCGTGGATTTTTAAAAGTATTTTCTTAGGGCCTACTTTGAGGCGTGGATTTTTAAAAGAAGTTTCTTAGGGCCTACTTTGAGGCGTGGATTTTTAAAAGAAGTTTCTTAGGGCCTACTTTGAGGCGTGGATTTTTAAAAGAAGTTTCTTAGGGCCTACTTTGAGGCGTGGATTTTTAAAAGAAGTTTCTTAGGGCCTACTTTGAGGCGTGGATTTTTAAAAGAAGTTTCTTAGGGCCTACTTTGAGGCGTGGATTTTTAAAAGAAGTTTCTTAGGGCCTACTTTGAGGCGTGGATTTTTAAAAGAAGTTTCTTAGGGCCTACTTTGAGGCGTGGATTTTTAAAAGAAGTTTCTTAGGGCCTACTTTGAGGCGTGGATTTTTAAAAGAAGTTTCTTAGGGCCTACTTTGAGGCGTGGATTTTTAAAAGAAGTTTCTTAGGGCCTACTTTGAGGCGTGGATTTTTAAAAGAAGTTTCTTAGGGCCTACTTTGAGGCGTGGATTTTTAAAAGAAGTTTCTTAGGGCCTACTTTGAGGCGTGGATTTTTAAAAGAAGTTTCTTAGGGCCTACTTTGAGGCGTGGATTTTTAAAAGAATTCTCAAAGAAGGCCCCAACTTTGAGTATTTTAAAAAAATATTTTTAATGCCTACTTTGAGGCGTGGATTTTTAAAATAAGTTTCTTAGGGCCTACTTTGAGGCGTGGATTTTTAAAATAAGTTTCTTAGGGCCTACTTTGAGGCGTGGATTTTTAAAATAAGTTTCTTAGGGCCTACTTTGAGGCGTGGATTTTTAAAAGAATTCTCAAAGAAGGCCCCAACTTTGAGTATTTTAAAAAAATATTTTTAATGCCTACTTTGAGGCGTGGATTTTTAAAATAAGTTTCTTAGGGCCTACTTTGAGGCGTGGATTTTTAAAAGAATTCTCAAAGAAGGCCCCAACTTTGAGTATTTTAAAAAAATATTTTTAATGCCTACTTTGAGGCGTGGATTTTTAAAAGAATTTTCTTAGGGCCTACTTTGAGCCGTGGATTTTTAAAAGAATTTTCTTAGGGCCTACTTTGAGGCGTGGATTTTTAAAAGAATTTTCTTAGGGCCTACTTTGAGCCGTGGATTTTTAAAAGAATTTTCTTAGGGCCTACTTTGAGGCGTGGATTTTTAAAAGAATTTTCTTAGGGACTACTTTGAGGCGTGGATTTTTAAAAGTATTTTCTTAGGGCCTACTTTGAGGCGTGGATTTTTAAAAGAAGTTTCTTAGGGCCTACTTTGAGGCGTGGATTTTTAAAAGAAGTTTCTTAGGGCCTACTTTGAGGCGTGGATTTTTAAAAGAAGTTTCTTAGGGCCTACTTTGAGGCGTGGATTTTTAAAAGAAGTTTCTTAGGGCCTACTTTGAGGCGTGGATTTTTAAAAGAAGTTTCTTAGGGCCTACTTTGAGGCGTGGATTTTTAAAAGAAGTTTCTTAGGGCCTACTTTGAGGCGTGGATTTTTAAAAGAAGTTTCTTAGGGCCTACTTTGAGGCGTGGATTTTTAAAAGAATTCTCAAAGAAGGCCCCAACTTTGAGTATTTTAAAAAAATATTTTTAATGCCTACTTTGAGGCGTGGATTTTTAAAATAAGTTTCTTAGGGCCTACTTTGAGGCGTGGATTTTTAAAATAAGTTTCTTAGGGCCTACTTTGAGGCGTAGATTTTTAAAAGAATTCTCAAAGAAGGCCCCAACTTTGAGTATTTTAAAAAAATATTTTTAATGCCTACTTTGAGGCGTGGATTTTTAAAATAAGTTTCTTAGGGCCTACTTTGAGGCGTGGATTTTTAAAAGAATTCTCAAAGAAGGCCCCAACTTTGAGTATTTTAAAAAAATATTTTTGATGCCTACTTTGAGGCGTGGATTTTTAAAATAAGTTTCTTAGGGCCTACTTTGAGGCGTGGATTTTTAAAAGAATTCTCAAAGAAGGCCCCAACTTTGAGTATTTTAAAAAAATATTTTTAATGCCTACTTTGAGGCATGTATTTTTAAAAGAATATTTTTAAGGTAAACCTTTAGGCGTGGATTTTTTAAAGAATATTTTTAAGGTAAACCTTTAGGCGTGGATTTTTTAAAGAATATTTTCTAAGGTCTACTTTCAAGCGTGGATTTTTAAAAGAATAATTTTTAATGCCTACTTTGAGGCATGTATTTTTAAAAGAATATTTTTAAGGGAAACCTTTAGGCGTGGATTTTTTGAAGCATATTTTCTAAGGTCTACTTTCAGGCGTGGATTTTTAAAAGAATATTTTTAAGGGAAATCTTTAGGCGTGGATTTTTTAAAGCATATTTTCTAAGGTCTACTTTCAGGCGTGAATTTTTAAAAGAATAAATTTTATGCCTACTTTGAGGCATGTATTTTTAAAAGAATATTTTTAAGGTAAACCTTTAGGCGTGGATTTTTTAAAGAATATTTTCTAAGGTCTACTTTCAGGCATGGATTTTTTAAAGAATATTTTCTAAGGTCTACTTTCAGGCGTGGATTTTTTAAAGAATAATTTTTAATGCCTACTTTGAGGCATGTATTTTCAAAAGAATATTTTTAAGGTAAACCTTTAGGCGCGGATTTTTTAAAGAATATTTTCAAAGGTCTACTTTCAGGCGTGGATTTTTAAACGAATAATTTTTAAGGTCTACTTTGAGGCTTGGGTTTTTTATAGAATATTTTCTAGGGTCTTCTCAAGAGGCGTGGATTGTTTAAAGAATATTTTCTAAGGTTTTCTCAAGAGGCGTGGATTTTTTAAACAATATTTTCTAAGGTCTTCTCAAGAGGCGTGGATTTTTTAAAGAATATTTTCTAAGGTCTTCTCAAGAGGCGTGGATTTTTTAAAGAATATTTTCTAGGGTCTTCTTTCAAATGTGGATTTTTTCTAGAATATTTTCTAGGGTCTTCTTTCAGGCGTGGATTTTTTAAAGAATATTTTCTAGGGTCTTCTTTCAGGCGTGGATTTTTTAAAGAATATTTTCTAGGGTCTTCTTTCAAATGTGGATTTTTTCTAGAATATTTTCTAGGGTCTTCTTTCAGGCGTGGATTTTTTAAAGAATATTTTCTAGGGTCTTCTTTCAGGCGTGGATTTTTTAAAGAATATTTTCTAGGGTCTTCTTTCAGGCGTGGATTTTTTAAAGAATATTTTCTAGGGTCTTCTTTCAGGCGTGTGGTATATTGGTGAGTATAGCGTACCGCTTAGGGTGGTTCTGCCAGCATATTAACAAGTATTATTTACTTTTTAAGCCTATAATAATCATGTAAACAATTGCAATGTGGGCGATTCGAATACATTTTGAATTGTATTTTAAATGTTTTAATATTTATAGAAAACAAAAACCACAGTACACTCCAGATAATTGCAACACTTTTTTCAAAATTTATTTATTAGAAAAATATTCTTTAAAAAATCAACGTCTCTGGAGAAGCCTTATACAAATATTCTAAAAAAAAACATTATAAAATACCTATTTTTCATATTACATATATTCAGACCGTACTGTGTCATAAAATATATTGCGTTTTGTAACTGCATCTCTCCTTGTTAGAAGAATAACTATCGACTCTGTGGGTTTGATTGACATGTATTCTATTGCATGTATGTCGATTTATAGTCGAATGCATGTATTCTCTGTCGACATATAGACATACATATTTTTAAGTACGAGCCTTATTTGTTAGCAAAGTTAAATGTCAGCGAACAGATAAGATAATGCCCCCAAAGAAAAGATGAATTTCTATTATAAATAACATTTTTCAAGTTCACTGACAGTTTAGTTCAATATTCATAAGCGTTCGGAATAAGTCGGAATTAAAAACGGATTATTCGATATTCCATATTTGCAAAAACAAAAGAAATGGTGATTGAGGAATGGAAAAAATGTGGCATTGCCACAAAATTTCCCACCTATCGGAATTCGAAATTTGTCACCGTGGATAGGTATGGCAGGATGCTGAAAGTATAAATAAAAAGGACGCAGATTTTGAGTAGTGTGTCCTTTTTTGATTTTTCTTCCAGTTGGTTGAATGGCAAACGCCAAGACGATGAGGCCGAAGGTCTGTGGCGCATCAATGATGTTATTTATGATTTTACCGATTTCATTGATAAACATCCGGGTGGTTCATTTTGGATAAGAGAAACTCGTGGTACGGATATAACCGAAGCATTTGAGGCACATCATTTGACCACAGCTCCCAGTAAAATGATTGAAAAATATAAAGTTCGTGATGCTAACAAGCCGAGGATTTATACTCTGACAATGCATGAGAATGGGTTTTATAAAACCCTCAAACGGCGGGTCATGGAGAAATTGAAAACCATTGATAATACGCCGAAGGAGAGGAGTGATGTAAGTTTTTAAAATCTTTAAAAGAAAAAATGTAAAAAAGATAGACTGAGACCTCTTAAAGAATATCATGGCGGAGCATGAATTTTTGTAAAAAAAAATTAGGGATTTTTTAAATAATATTTTTCTAACGCTTTTCAAGAGGCCTATAAGTGGCGTGGATTTTTTAAAGAATATTTTATAGGGTCTTCTACAAGGCGTAGATTTTTTAAATAATATTTTTCAAAGGCTTCTCAAGAGGCGTGGATTTTTTAAACAATATTTTCTAAGGTCTTCTCTAGAGGCGTGGATTATTTTAAGAATATTTTCTAAGGGGTTCTCAAGAGGCTTGGATTTTTTAAAGAATATTTTCTAAGGTCTTCTCAAGAGGCGTGGATTTTTTAAAGAATATTTTTCTAAGGCTTCTCAATAGGCGTTGGTGTTTTAAAGAATATTTTTTAAGGTCTTCCCAGAGGCTTGGATTTTTTAAAGAATATTTTCTAAGGTCTTCTCAAGAGGCGTGGACTTTTTAAAGAATATTCTCTAAAGTCTTCTCAAGAAGCGTGGATTTTTTAAAGAATATTTTCTAAGGTCTTCTCAAGAGGCGTGGATTTTTTAAACAATATTTTCTAAGGTCTTCTCAAGAGGTGTGGATTTTTTAAAGAATATTTTCTAAGGTCTTCTCAAGAGGCGTGGATTTTTTAAACAATATTTTCTAAGGTCTTCTCGAGAGGCGTGGATTTTTTAAAGAATATTTTCTAAGGTCTTCTCAAGAGGCGCGGATTTTTTAAAGAATATTTTCTAAGGTCTTCTCAAGAGGCGTGGATTTTTTTAAAGAATATTTTTCTAAGGCTTCTCAGGAGGCGTGGATTTTTTTAAAGAATATTTTTCTAGAGAATATTTTCTAAGGTCTTCTCAGGTGGCGTGGATTTTTTAAAGAATATTTTTCTAAGGCTTCTCAGGAGGCGTGGATTTTTTAAAAAATATTTTTCTAAGGCTTCTCAGGAGGCGTGGATTTTTTAAAGAATATTTTTCTAAGGCTTCTCAGGAGGCGTGGATTTTTTAAAGAATATTTTTCTAAGGCTTCTCAAGAGGGGTGGATTTTTTAAAGAATATTTTTCTAAGGCTTCTCAGGAGGCGTGGATTTTTTAAAGAATATTTTCTAAGGTCTTCTCAAGAGGCGTGGATTTTTTAAAGAATATTTTCTAAGGTCTTCTCAAGAGGCGTGGATTTTTTTAAAGAATATTTTTCTAGAGAATATTTTCTAAGGTCTTCTCAGGTGGCGTGGATTTTTTAAAGAATATTTTTCTAAGGCTTCTCAGGAGGCGTGGATTTTTTAAAAAATATTTTTCTAAGGCTTCTCAGGAGGCGTGGATTTTTTAAAGAATATTTTTCTAAGGCTTCTCAGGAGGCGTGGATTTTTTAAAGAATATTTTCTAAGGTCTTCTCAAGAGGCGTGGCTTTTTTAAAGAATATTTTCTAAGGTCTTCTCAAGAGGCGTGGTTTATTTTAAAGAATATTTTTCTAAGGCTTCTCAGGAGGCGTGAATTTTTTAAAGAATATTTTTCTAAGGCTTCTCAGGAGGCGTGAATTTTTTAAAGAATATTTTCTAAGGTCTTCTCAAGAGGCGTGGTTTATTTTAAAAAATATTTTTCTAAGGCTTCTCAGGAGGCGTGAATTTTTTAAAGAATATTTTTCTAAGGCTTCTCAGGAGGCGTGAATTTTTTAAAGAATATTTTCTAAGGTCTTCTCAAGAGGCGTGGTTTATTTTAAAAAATATTTTTCTAAGGCTTCTCAGGAGGCGTGAATTTTTTAAAGAATATTTTATAGGGTCATATAAGAGGCGTAAATTTTTTAAAGAATATTTTTCAAAGGCTTTTCCAGAGGCGTGGATTTTTTTTATGGTCTTTTCAAGAGTCGTGGATTTTTTAAAGAATATTTTCTAAGGTCTTCCCAGAGGCGTGGATTTTTAAAAGAAAATTTTTCTAAAGTCCCCTCAAGAGGTGTGAATTTTTAATAATATTTTTCTAATGTCCTCTCAGAGGTGTGAATTTTGAAATAATATTTTTTCCTAACTTCTAAACCACCTGTTTAAAAATTTATTTGCTTTCGATCAATTGTACAAATTCCGTTCGGAAGCTTAAAGCGATTATCACCAGTACATAAATCTAGAATAGACATTTAATTTATTATTAACAAAAAAATAAATTTTACTATTATGGATCGCTGATAAGACTAGAGGTCTTCATAGAGGTTAATTTTAATTTTTTTTAGAAAGTAAACAAACAGATCTAATTATGGAAAATTGACATGCATTTGTCATGTGATTTAGAACGGGATTCAATATCTAGAGGGTTTTCCGATTTTATATATTTACGATTTCGGAAAAAAATTGAAGACTTCGTATTCAAATTTGCTATCCTTTAGATTGTGCTATACAATCTTAGGCGCATATTTGAAATATTGGTATAGCTTGGCGGGTGTCAAGAGAATATTGGAACTATTCTGTCATCAGAATGAATCAAAAATTGTTATTTTTCTTGCAGCTCATTCACTTGGGTTTACTTGTGTCGATTTTCATATTTGCCATTGCCAGTGCTCGACTTAATTCCTTATTGTGTTTAGCCCTGGCCGGCACCGCCCTGGTATGGACCATCATTACGGCACATAACTACTTTCATCGTCGTGATAATTGGCGTATGTACACCTTCAATTTGTGTATGCTGAACTTCTGTTCGTGGCGTGTATCGCATGCCATGTCACATCACATCTATCCGAATTCATATATGGACTTGGAGCTATCAATGTTCGAGCCCCTACTATGTTGGATACCAAATCCGCACATAAAAAGTTTACTAATGCGTTATGTATCCTGGATAACAGAACCATTTGCCTATACGATAGCTTTCTTTTTGCAAATGCTCACAAGGTGGGTAAAAATAAACTCATCGATTTTGAAAAAATTAAATAATTTTTTTTTTTTTTTAAATATCTTTCAGAATTGTTTATTCCCTGCGGAATACAAACATCATGTATTGGCATGATTTGATACCTTTGACAATACCCCTTACCATTTATTTGGGTTCAGATTGGCCCCTGTGGATGTGTCTGCGCCAATGGTTGTATATGACAGCAATTGCCAGTTTTGCTTTTTGTGTCATTGGGTTAAATGCTGCCCATCATGATCCGGAAATTTATCATGAAGGTGATACCAATCGTGAAGATCGTGATTGGGGCCTGTTTCAGGTGGATACGATTATTGATCGTGGTGATTTGAAGAAATCACAATTTTTAGTTTTAACCCATTTTGGTGATCATGCCCTGCATCATTTATTCCCCACTTTGGATCATGGTATATTGCCACAGTTGTATCCAATTTTATATCAAACGCTAGATGAGTTTAAGGGCGAGCTACGGGAGTGTAATCATATTGAACATATAATTGGTCAACATAAACAGTTGCTGAGAATTAAACCGAATTTGAAGGCACCAGGATCGAAGTAGATATGTGTAAATATTTTTTGTAAATTCATCTCATTTTATTTGTATATAAACAATTTAAGTGTAAATGGTTATGATTAATAATAATAAAAAATAATTAAAAAAATTGGACCTAAATAATATTAGAAGGCCTACGAAAATATTCTTTAAAAAATCCTCAGCTCAATGAAGGCCTACGAAAATATTCTTTAAAAAACCCTCAGCTCAATGAAGGCTTACGAAAATATTCTTTAAAAAAATTCACGCCTCTTGAGAAGGCCTTAGAAAATAATCTTTAAAAAATCCACGCCACTTGAGAAGACCTTAGAAAATATTCTTTAAAATAAACCACGCCTCTTGAGAAGACCTTAGAAAATATTCTTTAAAAAATCCACGACCTTAAAAAATATTCTTTAATAAAACCAACCACGCCTCTTGAGAAGGCCTTAAAAAATATTCTTTAATAAAACCAACCACGCCTCTTGAGAAGGCCTTAAAAAATATTCTTTAATAAAACCAACCACGCCTCTTGAGAAGGCCTTAAAAAATATTCTTTAATAAAACCAACCACGCCTCTTGAGAAGGCCTTAAAAAATATTCTTTAATAAAACCAACCACGCCTCTTGAGAAGGCCTTAAAAAATATTCTTTAATAAAACCAACCACGCCTCTTGAGAAGGCCTTAAAAAATATTCTTTAATAAAACCAACCACGCCTCTTGAGAAGGCCTTAAAAAATATTCTTTAATAAAACCAACCACGCCTCTTGAGAAGGCCTTAAAAAATATTCTTTAATAAAACCAACCACGCCTCTTGAGAAGGCCTTAAAAAATATTCTTTAATAAAACCAACCACGCCTCTTGAGAAGGCCTTAAAAAATATTCTTTAATAAAACCAACCACGCCTCTTGAGAAGGCCTTAAAAAATATTCTTTAATAAAACCAACCACGCCTCTTGAGAAGGCCTTAAAAAATATTCTTTAATAAAACCAACCACGCCTCTTGAGAAGGCCTTAAAAAATATTCTTTAATAAAACCAACCACGCCTCTTGAGAAGGCCTTAAAAAATATTCTTTAATAAAACCAACCACGCCTCTTGAGAAGGCCTTAAAAAATATTCTTTAATAAAACCAACCACGCCTCTTGAGAAGGCCTTAAAAAATATTCTTTAATAAAACCAACCACGCTTCTTGAGAAGGCCTTAAAAAATATTCTTTAATAAAACCAACCACGCCTCTTGAGAAGGCCTTAAAAAATATTCTTTAAAAAATCCACGCCTCTTGAGAAGGCCTTAGAAAATATTCTTTAAAATAAAACACGCCTCTTGAGAAGACCTTAGAAAATATTCTTTACAAAATCCATGCCTCTTGAGAAGACCTTAGAAAATATTCTTTACAAAATCCATGCCTCTTGAGAAGACCTTAGAAAATATTCTTTAAAAAATCCACGCCTCTTGAGAAGACCTTAGAAAATATTCTTTAAAAAATCCACGCCCCTTGAGAAGGCCTTAGAAACTATTCTTTAAAAAATACACGCCTCTTGAGACGAGCTTAGAAAATATTCTTTAAAAAGTCCACGCCTCCGGGAAGACATTAGAAAATATTCTTTAAAAAATCCACGCATCTTGAGAAGACCTTAGAAAATATTCTTTAAAAAATCCACGCCTCTTGAGAAGACCTTAGAAAATATTCTTTAAAAAATCCACGCCTCTTGGGAAGCCTTTGAGAAATATTCTTTAAAAAATCCACGCCTCTTGAGAAGACCTTAGAAAATATTCTTTAAAAAATCCACGCCTCTTGAGAAGACCTTTAAAAATTCTACGCCTCTTGGGAAGCCTTTGAGAAATATTCTTTAAAAAATCCACGCCTCTTGAGAAGACCTAGAAAAATATTCTTTGAAAAATCCACGCCTCATGAGCAGACCTTAAAAAATATTCTTTAAAAAATCCACGCCTCTTGAGAATACCTTCGAAAATATTATTTAAAATAAACCACACCTCTTGAGAAGACCTTCGAAAATATTCTTTAAAAAATCCACGCCTCTTGAGAAGACCTTCGAAAATATTCTTTAAAAAATCCACGCCTCTTGAGAAGCCTTAGAAAAATATTCTTTAAAAAATCCACGCCTCTGGGAAGACCTTAGACAATATTGTTTAAAAAATCCACGCCTCTGGAGAAGCCTAAGAAAAATATTTTTTAAAAAATCCACCCCTCTGGGAAGACCTTAGAAACATATTCTTTAAAAAATCCACGCCTCTTGAGAAGCCTTAGAAAAATATTCTCTAAAGAATCCACGCCTCATGAGAAGGCCTACGAAAATATTCTTTAAAAAATCCACGCCTCTTGAGATGGCCTACGAAAACATTCTTAAAAAAATCCACGCCTCTTGAGATGGCCTACGAAAATATTCTTTAAAAAATCCACGCCTCTTGAGATGGCCTACGAAAATATTCTTTAAAAAATCCACGCCTCTTGAGAAGCCTTAGAAAAATATTCTCTAAACAATCCACGCGTAATGAGAAGGCCTACGAAAATATTTTTTAAAAAATCCACGCCTCTTGAGATGGCCTTAGAAAATATTCTTTAAAAAATCTACGCCTCTTTGGAAGCCTTTGAGAAATATTCTTTAAAAAATCCACGCCTCTGGGAAGACCTTAGAAAATATTGTTTAAAAAATCCACGCCTCTGGGAAGACCTTAGAAAATATTGTTTAAAAAATCCACGCCTCCGGGAAGACCTTAGAAAATATTCTTTACAAAATCCACGCCTCTTGAGACGAGCTTAGAAAATATTCTTTAAAAAATCCACGTCTCTGGGAAGATCTTAGAAAAAAATGATTTAAAAAATCGAAGGCTCACGTAGGCCAAAGGAAAATTAATTTAAAAACTCCACGCCTCACGTACTTACTTAGCTGGCTTGTTACAGAACGGTTGTTCCATAAGCCGAGCTTAAAAAAGATTTCCAAGCGCGTCGGTCTTGTGCGCATCTATACCAGTTTGAAATACCATGTTCCAAGATGTTTTTTCTACTTGGTCTTTCGATCTAATTCGTGGGCTTCCCCTTCTACGGGAACCATCAGTAGGCTCACTTTTATATGCCTTTTGAGCTGGGACATTCTCATTCATTCGCACAACATGACCTAGCCACCGTAGTCACTGCAGCTAAATACGACTGACTATGTCGATGTCCGCGTATAAATTGTAAAGCTCGTGGTTCATTTGACGCCGATATTCACCGTCGACGCAGATTGGCCCGTATATCTTTCGGAGAATTTTTCTTTCAAACACCCCAAGAGCTGCCTCATCTGCTTGCGCAAGTACCCATGCTTCAGATCCATATAATAGCACGGGTTGTATCAGCGTCTTGTAAAGTGTGAGTTTGGTCTGGCGGTAGGTGGCCTTGATTCTAAACTGCTTACTTCGACCATAGTAGCATCTGTTGGCCATCACAATGCTTCTCCGAATTTCAAAACTGATGTTATTCGTTTAATTTATGGCTGTACCAAGGTATATAAAATCTTTAACTACCTCGAAGCAGTAGTTCTCAAGTTCCACAGTTGGTCCGAGTCTACTAGACGTCTTGCACGTTGATACCATCAGCTTGGTCTTCTCGCTGTTTGTTGCCAGACCCATTTTGGCAGACTCCTTCTCAACTTTTTCAAAGGTGGATGTTACCGCTCGCAATGTTCGACCCATTATATAGATGTCATCGGCGTAGGCGAGTAACATGTGTTGTTTGGTGTACGGAGTGTCATTTCTGTTCACCTTTGAGTCTCGTATGACCTTTTCCAGCAGGATGTTAAATAGATCACACGACAAACTGTCACCTTGTCTGAATCGTCGTTCGGTATTGAAGGCCTCCGATAGGGCATTTCCTACTTTAACTGCTGACCTTGTGCCATTTAAAGTTATCCTGTTATTAATTTTGCAGGAATGCCGAACGTAGACATGGTTTTAAACACCTCTGAACGGATAGGGCTGTCGAATGCTGCTTTATAGTCGACAAATATGGTACATTGTACGTGTCGATGTGTTTTTCGTGGTCTTTTCCAGGATTTGGCGCAGAGTGAAAATCTGGTCGATGGTGGATTTGCCAGGTCTGAAGCCGCATTAGTATGGTCCAATAATGTCATTGACCATTGGCTTCAGTCGTTCACACAGCACACTGGATAGCATTTTATATGCGATAGGAAGGAGACTTATTCCTCTATAGTTGGAACATATCGTCTTGTCTCCGTTGTTGTGCACGGGACACAGAATGCTGAGGTTCCAATCATTGGGCATGCATTCCTCTAGCCAAATTGTTCTAATCAGCTGGTGCATGCTCCTGACCAGCATCTGGCCACCAGTCTTGAATAGTTCGACTGGTAACCCATCGGTTCCTGCAGCTTTATTGTTCTACGCCTCACGTAGACCTTGGAAAAAATATTTTAAAAAATCCATGCCTCTTATAGATCCTGAAACAATTTATTAACAAAATCCACGCCATATAAAAGCCTTGAATAAATTGTTTAAAAAATCTACGCCTCATATAGATCTTGGAAATTTGTATTTATTATCCCTACACTACACGCCAAGTGAATGAGAATTATGTCTTGTTACTAATACTGTGGTGATGGCATTGGATGTGCATATCCAGCATTTTTTCTCTCTTAGGAAACCCAAGGAAGATTTTTCTCTTTATTACTGAACCCGAATATCAGCCCTTTGTTTATTTTTTGTGTTGAAGTATGGTGAGTATGGGAGCCTTTGTGGTGAGTACTGAAGTGAGAGGTGATTGGAAAATAAAAAAATGTATTTTTGTTGGTATTGTTTTTTTTTATTGCACGATTTTTTTATTATTATTTGTTCTTAGACAGTGTGTAGTGTTTTGTTGTTGTTGCTTGGGTATTTTCAACATTCATCATGGATGACATTTGGTTCGTATTATATTATTATTAACATATATCTATATATATAGTACATAAATATATAAATACAAATACAAGTGTTAGCAAAGGTAAATAATATTTTTTTTAAACTAAACACA